GAGTCTCACACTCCCCGATAACAGAGGTTCAGTAAATTCCTCCCTTGGAGCTCTGGTCACTGCTGTCTTCATCTGGATAAGATAATCTAAGAATGCAGCGGGGTTTTCTGACTATCTTTTCATTTTCTGGGTTATATGAACAAAAGAAGTCTTTATTTTAATACCATACTGCAGTCTAAAATATATAAATATATGTATTACACCACTATTTCTAAGTTTCATACAGCAAGGTTTTCCAACATTATACATATAACATTCATATTAGTATAATAATATAATAGTATCAATAATATAATATGTATCTATAATATATATGTTGCCATAGGATGTACAGGGAGAGGATATAGAATGTCTGAAGCTTTGCTGTGGAAGAACTGTCATTTTCCCTTTTAGTGCCCTCCAGGAGGTCACCTACATGCCTTTCATCCTCTTCCTGCTGCAGAATGGCCTTTTGTTTGACGACATCTTGACAAGCCTGGGCTCAAAGTGTCCTTCTTAGGGCAGGTACAAGTCCTTCAGCTTATGCTACTGGGTACTTCTTACAGCAGCATGTTGTGCTGCTGTCCTGGGGTCAGCACTCAGAACCTGAATAAGCAATACTTTTAATAACTTGGGTAGAACTCATGTGATTGGATATCATGGGAGATAAGGAACTGCCTAGCTGGGCATCTCAAATGCCCATTGCAAATATAGTCTGGGCACATATTTGTATTGAGAACATCTTCCTTCCTGAGGATTTTATGCAGCTGTGATCAGAGCTGCATAAAGGACAAAGCTGGGCAACACCAGCATTTGAGGGGGGAGGAGAAGTGTGTAGATATAAAATCTCTGAGATGCAGAAAAGGCAAGGAATTAATAACCTGAGGTTTGTTGAAACAAAGTGTGATTGAATATTTTGACTCCATGCAATACTTACCACTTGCAGTACTTTGTCCCAGATACAAACCATGATCTGGAGTTATTCACAGGCATTTCAGAATACAGTTTCTATGAAAGATGCCATCCCAAATAAAGCTGTATTGATTCAAAGGAAAGGAATAAGCTTTACAGACATGAAACAAGAAAGGAAATGCTGGAACCTCAGAAAAGGATCTGAGGCTGGAAACAGAGTTGCCTGTGGATTAACATCAAATGCTAACATAAAAACAAAAATGGCAAAATAACATTTGGTGGAGAAAGGAACAGAATTTTCCTCATAACTAAAGGAAGAAAAGTCCTGGTGTTCTCTCTACCCCTTAGGACCCAGCATAGCAGTTGAAGGACGTGAATGATGCAGGAGACATGGACTGAAGTCCCGAGCTGTCATTGTATGTTACTGTCCTCCACTGAGGGAGAAATGAGTGAGGGGACAGGAGCCCAGGGAACTAGAGGTGCTTTTGCCTTTGTGCATCAAATATCCTGGAACTGCCCTCACCCTGGGCGTTTGTCTTTGATGCTCTTCCATTCCTTTTACTTTGTGAAGTACCAGGTGTTCCTAACAGCTACTTGGTGCTGATTTCTAAGTCTTAGTCCCATTTAGTGACCTTCTGATTGGCATTATGGGCTGAATACATCTTTCTCATACACGGTCTTTGGTGTTCTAGCTCCAGTGGCAGACAAGGAAAGTAATTTCTGACCTCCCCTAAGGTAGGTGTTACAGATGACATACACTCCTGTACAGATAAGAGAGGCAAGTCAAGACCTTGACACAACTTTAAATTCCTTCTCTCCTTATGCTCCTGCCCTTTCCTACCTATGTGTGGTCAAAAAGGACAGATGATATCCTGGGCATCACTCTAATAAACAGCCTCTTTGTACCAAAGAACAACAAAATGTAAAAGCTTTTACATGCAAGTCATATTGCCTGGGGTAAGACTGAGGGCAAGATGGGAATAGCTGAGCTGGTGAAGAATAGCCAAGGAGGGATGTGATTTTCTGAGCTGGCAAGCAGGTGCCATGTAAGAGACCAGGAATCTGTTGGTCATCTATGTCAAAACAAAAATTTATGAAGTTAATCTGCAGGAGGGGAAGTCTGATGGAGAATTAAAATCAGTTTCAATGAGGGAGAAAATAACCAGGGAAAGGCTGGAATAGCTATGCACTGAGCTTCAGAGGCTATTATTCAACAGTCTCCTTTGGCAAGTGGGATACAGTTGAGGGAAGTATAAAATACCCCTGACGTGTGTATGTGCCTGTGCATTCATGTCCTTTCTCACTCAAATACGTGTGCATTCATGCACCCAAGTATGTGTGAGCTGGGGGAGGCCCCCAAACCCAGCTCAGAACAGCACATCCATTCTTTGTAGTTTCCAAGAGGGTGTTAGAGCAGCAGCAGCAGCACCTGGAGTACAGCACAGAACACCTGTGGTGTGCTTCTCAGCATCATGAAATCAGGAATTTAAAACCAAAACATCTCCTCACTCCTAATTATATTAGTACTCTTACTAACACTTGTTTGTTATTGAATATAGTTCTAAAAAAAGGCGTTTTACTTGTGCTGAATTATCTGCAGTTCTAAGGAATATCTGGTTTTAGGCTGTAAAACTTGATTTAGATTAAATGGGATGACAAATAAAAAAATAGAAGTAAAACATTTAGCTGCTCTCTGGATCATACTGCAGTAGATTGCTTTCATGAGATAGCAGGTCCTCGTATAGCTAAAAAGGTGCTGTGCAGAGAGGGTATGATACAAGCTAAGATGAATTCACCACATGTCCCTTGCTCCTCCTAGGTTAGTAGGGTTCGGGCTGAGCTCTGGAAATAAAAACTGCCATCTGTTTTTGTGATCAGTTGTGGATACAAGACAGAACATGAAATCTGGGAAGGAGGTTACAAACCTGATAGAAAGCCCAAGGTGCCTTTCCCTGTAAGCAGTCCTCCAGCAGTGAAAGGAGAGCTTGAACGCTTCTGCTTTAGGAAGAAAAGGGCTGGCACTGTAGGGAAAATGTGCAAGGGACCCAAAACATTTCTGTATCAATGAGGGGTGCTCTGAGAAGGCACATGTCAGGCTTTCTGCCCTCAAGGCTGCGGGCTGCAGCATTTCAGGGAGCACAACCAAGCTATGATCAAATATATTCTTCTTATTGCAACAGATCACAAGACAGTTTTTCAGCAGACATTCAATTATTGCACAAAATAGATGGTTGAGCATAAAGGGAAAGTTCTTTTTTTAGACAAAGCTACTCTTGCCTTGGAACTCCTGTAATCAAAAAATGTATTTGTAGTACTTGGCTATTCCTGCCTCTGCAGGCTTTTTGAATCTACATCAGACTTTCAAAGGTACAGGTTTCTTAAAGTGTCTCTGAGATACTGGACTCTAATGTCAGACTAAAGTATGTAAGGTATTGCAGCAGAGGTAAATAATAAGTAGCACCTTTCCAATGCTGTCACCTTCCTAACAGGAACACTAAAATAATGGTGTTCCTTTCCTGCTAAATATATCATCCATCAGTGACTGCTGTGAAATCCATTGATTATATACAAGGAGTGACAATTTACACTCCCACTATCCCTTCCTCCTTGCCTCCTGCCTCCTCAGCTGCCACTGCCAGCCTGGCTCTCTGCCCTGGGAGCAGCCACCATCCTGGGGACTTTTCTCCAGCACTGGAGCTGCCATGGCAGAGCAGCACACCCTCTGTTGCTCTCGACACTTCAGCACAGTCTGTGCGCTTGTCAGTCACTTTCAGGCTTCTTTTTAAATTTGGCAGTGGCTCTTCTTGTCATGATGAAGCCTCTGATTCAGGGAGCTGTGTCCCTGTGCTTTGAAGGTCACACTGGGATTTCCTGCCTGTGCTGCTCCAAGGGGACACCCTGCTCACCTGCTAACCCATCTCTGCCCTGGAAGAACCTGGTTAGAAAAATGAAAGAATTAACTGCTTATTGGTCATTTGGTTTTGTGGACCTTCTTTTCCTTAAGTATGTAGTTGGGACACAGGGAATGTCCAAAATCTTCATGTCCCATGAAATGTTCTATTAACTTCACTACAAACCTGCCACGGATATGCAAATCCATGACTAAATGTAAGTGGGAATCGGGATGAATAAGTACAATGACAATGCTGAATAAGGCAGATGAATGTTGACCCAAGAAAGCAAGCCACCTGCAAGCTTCCTGTGTTAAATGGTGAGGTGTTTTAAGTAAAAGTTTCCAAAAAAAGTACCTGAAAGAGAACTAATGCAAAATCTTTCCAGTGATGGAAAATACAGAGGTTCTTGAATTCTCTCTATTGTTTGTGGAATTCAGCAGTAGATACCAGGTGCAGCGTTTGCATGGAACTGAAATAAAAGATATTTAAAGTATCTTTTATAGTATAGTATAAAGTATACAAGTATATATCTTTTATAGTATAAAGTATGCAAGCCAAATCAAACCAGATTATTCATCATAGTTATCATGCAAGTATGTATGTGTGCATGTGTGTGCCCATCTTAGAACATACTGATAATATCTGGGATGATAACATGAAAAAATATCATTGCAAAAGAAATCTCACTGCAAAGTCAATGTTTGTGTTCAACCTGAAATATTTTGTTCTGTTGATAGACCCAGCACTGGCTGAGTAGGCAGTTCTACAGCTGCTACTCCATGTCTGTATAGCTTCAGTAGTGCTACAACACAGGTACAAAATGGGCTGTCTCATCTGCAGCCACCCTGAAAGACAGATTGGGAAGTTAACTTGGGTTCAAGTGTCAAGGAAATAAAACTATCACAGTGTTTCCTGAGGCAGGGGCATTGCAGGCAATGATGTGATAAGCCAGTTCTCTGTTGTCTCAAAGGTGACTATAAAAATGCCATCAAGGTTTCTGGTTTACTCTTTCTCACTCTCTGTCTCAGAAGGTAACGGTGGCAGGATGGTACCTCAGAAGGTGAAAACTTGGTCAATCTGTCTCTGTCATCAATAGTACAATTTCTGCTGTCATTGCCTATGTGATGAGAAAATGGAGCAAAATCAGGTGTTGGAAAGCTAAGAGTCAGTTTGCTGTGTTGCTGAGTCTACCTCTGTTTACTGCTACTGTACTGATTCCTCTAGGCAGAATCTCACAGAGAGTTGTTTGCATCATTTCCTATTTAAACACATATACAGGTAAGAGTAAATGGAATGGATTTTCATCCTGCAGAGCAAACCCATGCCTGCAGAAGAGCCTTTTCTTTCTCTGATATCTAATCCTTTCCTTTGGCAAAGTAAATAATGAGACACTTCTACAGATCTGATTAAGCCCTGAGTCCCTTTTTAAATGACAGAAGATCAATACTATTACTAAAGCCATTAAACAATTCTTCACACTTCAGTTGTGCTCTCTCCAGGATGTATGAGAAAGAACAGAAGGGTATTTTGGCTATTATAAAGGAAATGCATGATAAAGCCTCCTCTTGTGTTCCATTTTCTCTCCCTGGCTCTAAGCCATCCATATCTTCCAAGCTTCCCATCCCTTGAATCTGGCTCACAGGTCAGAAATAGACAGAGACCTGGGATACAGGAGGGATTATGTCTTTCAGTCTCTTAAGCCAGGTTTGAATCTGTGAATAGTATCTGGAAGTTCTGGTTGTTTAATTCTGACAAATTGGCTTAAGTTGGTCTCGGTTTCTGGTTTAGTTTTTTATTTAGTGCCTATTTTTTTGCTGATGCTCCAGCCTTCTGGTCATCTTCATGGCCCTCCTCTGGACTTGCTCCAACAGATCCATGTCCTTCTTATACTGGGGGCTTCAAAGCCAGATGCAGTACTCCAGGTGGGGGCTAAAGAAAGCAGAATAGTGAGAATTCATTTTCTTTCCAAGACAAGCCAGAAGGAGCTTTTCTTGTGTGATTTGATGAAGAACAGAGACAGCTCTAAAGCTCCTACACTGCAGGCTGGGCTCTGTGAATGCTGGTATCTTTTTGCAAGCAGCAAACTGAGGTACAGAATCTCCTTCCAATTCTCAAAATCTGCTGCAGAAAGTTTTGGTGTCCACAACATGACACATCTGTGGGGAATTCGCAGCTCTGCCCATCCTCCTGTCAAGAAAACCAGTACTGATGTGACAGGACAGCGCTTCCCAGTTAGCAACACTTACTACTTCTAGAACCTTATCGGTAAAGGTAAGTACTAAAAAAAACAGGGATACTGAATCCTCTTTCTCCAGCAGAAATGGTCCTTCCAAATGAGGTAATCTCAAAGGTTAAAGGCAAAGCAATACAATATTTCAGAAAATGAAGTATGCAGCCCAACACCCATCTCTGCTTGTCCATGCTCTGATGTCACCGGCAACCAACCTGAGAGCTCCATCTGCATCCTGCTCTCCGCAACCACTCTGTAATTATGTCTCATTGTACATCATTTTTGTTCAACAACTTGCTGGCTGTTTTTCACATCAAATGAATTATTCAGCAGCAGATTCTGCTCTTAATCCTAACAACAGCAGCAGTAATACTTCATGCTCATAGGGTCCTTTCAAAAGTGTGATGGAAATGTTTTATGTTGAGTTCTATACTCTGCAACAGAAGACGGGGCTTGTACAACGGAGTGAGAAATGGGGCTCAGCACAGCTCTCTGACATGGGCTATGTGAGAGTGCAGAACTAGGAGACAAGTCCAGCCCCTACTGCCCCATACAATTTTTCTTCCCCTCTGAGCCACTTTTCAGCACTGTACCAAATCTGTCAGATCCTCAGCTACTCTAATTAGCATTATTTCTTTCAATGCCTTGGTGAGATACTGATATTTGTTTCTTACATGTTGATTAAAGACAGAACACTGGAATGTGTGCATTCTAACTCATGACCTACCAAGACAAATCCTTGGCTGTACACATTCTTATGCTAGGAAAGTGCAAGTCAGAGATTCAGAATGTCTTTCTGGATGTCACTGAGCTACTCACTACCTGTGAGTACAGAAAAAAAATGTATGGAGAGAAGCCAAGCCATAATCTTCACTGGAATCTGTACAAATTTCAATTAGCATGTTCTTTCTTTTTAATTTTTTTTTCCTCCATCTTTCATCCTCGATTTTTTTTTCTGCTGAGCATCACCTGGTTTTCTATTCATGATCAGGTGCATGAACTGCTAAAAAAACCAAGACACACAGGAGATTTGGTAATTCAAATATATGGGCTGCTCTGCCTGTGACCTTTGCTTAGAAAGTTTTGAAAGAAACATGAATCTTCTGTCTAACTGGGATATGCTGGGGAAAGAGCTTGCAAGGTGTGGTGAACAACACTTGATTTTTGTACCATTTCTTCTTCAGTGTTCCAGTCTTGCTCAGGCATTATTAATCCTGCTTATTCTGGAAGATCTGAATGTGTCTGACTCTGCAACATAATTTAAAGGAGGGGGGAGTTGCTTTGCATGATGGAAGACACTGTGAGTGATGATCCCAACAGCCTGTGACTCTCAGCTGGAAGTGTTTTTCATAGCTGCTGAAGCACTGCTGAGCTTGTGGAGTAGCTTGTTAACAATGGTACAGAAGTGGAACAGGTTATTGATTTTTCACCACACAAAAACTGTTACTTTATGCTGAACTTTACTTTTGCTTCTTAAAATTTGACCACATGCATCATTTAAAAAAGAGATGCAGATCTGTTCTTTCTATGGAAAAGATTGTGATGTCTGATTTTGTGGAATCCAACTGTTCCTCAGCTACATGGGATGCAATTCAGTAAGGAATGTTGGCTGCAGAAATACAAAAGGACATGACAACAACATGAAGGAAAAACTGGAGTGATTCAAAGCAGTCTGGAGTGAGACTTGAACATGAGTCAATAATGTCTTGCTAGTACAGCAAATATGTAAGGAGGCCTGTTATATATCAGAGTTCTGAAACAATGCTTCAGCTCTGTCTTGTGCTGGAGGGCCATAGCTAGAGAACTGTCCTGCTTTCAGCACTGCACTCCAATAAAGATGTAAACCACCTGGAAGAAATCCAGAGGAGAATGAGTAGAACAAGCAAGGAGCCAGAAAACTTGCTGAGTTGAGGAAATCTTTATGGAAGCTGAAAGATGAGTCCTAGAGAAGAGCCTTTCACAAACATAATGACTGCAAAGACAGAGACTAACTTTTTGATCATATCTCCTGTAGGTGAAACAAGAAGTAATTGGTTTAAATCATTGCAAAGGAGACAATTAAAGCTGTAGTAAGAAGTCTCTTAACTTTTCATCTATGAAGGCAGTGATATTCCGTCACAGGAGGCTTTTGAGAGCAGTTTAGATAAACATCTCTCAGGAGCAGTTTAACTTGATCTCACTTAATTGCCTTAAGGTAATGGGGTGATGTACATGCTCTCTTGAGGATCTTTTCAAGTCCTGTTTTCAGAGCTGGTACTTCCTCAGATTTATAGTATGAGATGAGGTGGCTTGGTTTGACTTGCTCATCATGAACAGAGTTGTGAACTCCCTGCAGGGGCTTTGTGTTTATACTGCTGATGAGTATAAACTCATGCTGAAAAGGAGAGATCTCATCTTTTATTAGACATCCATATTTCATTAGTGAAGTGAGTCCATCTGACATCACAAAGATATAAACATCTGGGATCCCTAGTGTTCCACATCAGTCTGTAGACTAATAACAGGTGGAGTGGACATGGCTGTCTCAGAATACTGAAAATAAGAGGGATGTCTCTCAACAACAGCATATGTCTTAGAAGGAGATTCATTGCTTGAGAAGAAAAATGGAGCTCGTTTTATAATGGGAACCAGGACTGATGATACTGCAGAGTTATTAATTTTTCTGTTGATTTGAATTTTGACTATTTTGTGGTTTAACCCCAGCCAGCAGCCAAGCCCTGTGCAGCTGCTCACTCACTCCCCCACCAGTGGATCAGGGAGAGAATTGAGAGGGTAAAAGGTAGAAAACTCATGAGTTGAGATCAAGACAGTTTAATAGGGAAAGCAGAAGCTGTTCACACAAGCAGAGCAAAGGAGGGAGTTAACTGAGTGCTTCCCATGGGCAGGCAGGTATTCAACCTTCTCCAGGACACCAGGGCTTGATCACATGTTGTGGTGACTTGGGAAGACAAACACCATCACTTCAAATGTTCCCCTCTTCCTCCCTCTTCCCCCCACTGTATATACTGAGCATGATGTCACACGGTCTGGAATGTCCCTTTGGTCAGCTGGGGTCACCCTTGGCTGTGTCACCTCCCAGCCTCCCATGTACCCCCAACTTCCTCACCAGTGTGGCTGTATGAAAAGCAGAAAAGGCCTTGGCTCTGTCTAAGCCCTGCTCAGCAATAACAAAAACATCTCTATGATATTAACATTCTGTTTAGCACAAATCCAAAACACATCCCATACCAGCCACAATGAAGACAACTAACTCTACCTCAGCTAAAACCAGCACACTGTACATGCTGTAAGTTACAGGAGTTTCCAAACTGAGAGTGTTGTGTTCCCAGCCACTGATTGATCTGCGAGTCAAGCTATGCAGTTACCTGTAAACTGCAGATTCAGACTCTATTCCTGTGTACAGCTTTTTGTTTTCTGTAAAATGGAAATAATTTCCCAGACATCAATCAAATCTCTCAGACTGACAGCCAGTTGAACAGCAACTTGAGCTTGCCAGGTTGAGGGGATAACTTGAGTTTGGGTTGCTGTGATGTGTTGGTGATGCTCAAGGCAAGGTTTTGTCTTGCTTAGCCCTTCCATTTTGCTGGGCCATTGACAAAGTAACTATTTTTCTGTGTTTATATGGAAACCCAGGCCTGTGTGACACAACAGCAGGCAGGCTTGCCTGCTACAAACGTTGAGAAGTGATAAGCTGAGCCCTTCTGAGCTCCAAAAAAACCTCACGGATTTTTACAGTTTATTTGCTGATGTTTGGAGTCCTTAATACTGAGATTTCTTTAAAAGGTTTCCTTTGGAAAGACAGACCTACCTCTACCTCAGGGTGACAGTGCAGACCCAGCACCAAAGACTGGGATAGTCAAAACACGTGAGGGTTGTTAGCAGTGGGGATGTGCCAGTCAGCTGTCAGCTCTGGCTTTGTAACACCCCCCTGCAGCTTGGGGAGCTGATGTGAGGGCCTGGCCTCTGACCACAAAAGGGTCACACATCTGTTCTGCTCAGCTGATGCCAAGATCTTGGTTTTTGTGACCACCTGGGCTCAGCACCCATATCTCACTCACCTAGAGGCCATCCAAAGGCCCCACGAAAGGGCTGGCATCTTGGCTTGTGTCCTTGGGCTCATATGCTCTCCCTGAGTCAACGCTCAGAGCCTGCCAAGAGGCAGCTGAGCCTCAAAGGCAACCTACTGAATTCCGCAAGCTGTTAGTTTGGATCTAATTCAGCCCCAACAAAATGTGGGAGACCACCTCTGAGTGAGGAATATGCCATTTGTATGTGGCCATTCCTCTAACCAGAAGTTTGTAGGAGGTAATATGAAACAGCTGGGGGTTTATCTGCTGCCAAAAGTTCTTCTGTAACCCAGTACTGCTGCTGTGTGACGTGGAAGAAGCCTGCAGAGGCTGTAGCTCTATCACCTGCTTTTTTCAGGGAGCCAAAAAACACGGTCCATCCTGCACATGGCTTTCCCCTGAGGCTGTTCCAGGCCATGCTAAGCTGCTTTCTTTGGGCTGCCATCACGAAATAACACTGGCAGCTAGACTGGCTGCCAACCATCCATTGTTGGTTAAGTGAAAATCCTTTGTTCCCAACTGTAAATTCCCCAGCTATCTTTGCTAAGCAAAATCAGAGAAACAGTCCATCTGTTTCATCCTGGAAAATTTGAATATGTACTTTTTTCTTGTGGCCATTAAAACACATTTTAATTTTAGTATCATATGCTGAACAACATTTAGAACATGAGTTAAAGATGCTGCTGCGAGAGGAATGAGGTGCAACTACATCTCAGTTTGGACCAGTGCTGAAGCAGAAGCATTGACAGCAATAGCTCCCCCTACCAAACTGGAATAGCAGCCTGCTTTTATGGACAACTTTGGCATAAGGGCTGGAATTTGAAGTTATCAAGAAAATATCAGCATTGGAAAAAAACTGTAATTTGATTTGTTTCAGGGCTCAGAATAACTCTGTCACCAAAAACATAATGGAGGTGGCTTACCACTTCCAGCTAATATAGGTCTTAAAATGATCCTGTTATCCCTGTCCCCCCAGCCCTGATGCTGCTATCACGCGTTAAGAAATAAATCAGGGTAAGGAATTTGTGCTGTCTTTTAGTTCATGACATTGAAAGTAATACAAAGGCAAAAGAAAGGTATCAGCATTTAAAGATCCAGCAGACAGCCACTCCTGAGGTCTCTTCTTTGTGTCCTCTGGCCTCACTTTTCCTTGCTCTTCCCCCAGAGTCAGAGCTACGGTAGGGTCTGGTTACCCGGATGCCCAAGTTGTACTGGGGTGGGAAGACTTGCTATCAGCTCTATCTTTTAATTTTGCTACCACATTCCATTTTTCTATTCCCTCTTGCATTTCACTCTTTGTGTCTCCCATTCCAAAAACCCCTCCTCTGCCCTCGAGTCAGAACTCCTTCCAGGTCCTCCAGACTTTCAGGTATGGGTATCTATGTCTCTCTCCCGTGTTCCTTTTCCCACCTAAACTGTCCTTTGAGATACTCTCATTCTGCTTTCTTGCTCAGACAGGATCCCAGACTCCAAATTGCATGTGCTTTTATTGATTTGTAATGGGAGTTTTCACTCAGGCTGGGTTTCACATTCAGTGAAACTCTTGCTTACCTTGGAATACTTCTCCTTCCTCTCTCTCCATGAGGAGCATGTGCAAGCCATTATGTTCATGGCAGATTCATGGCAGATTCATGGCTAGAGAAAAACCTGCAGAACTGGTAACAGCAATAATTGGCAATCAAGTATTTGCCCTGCTCTCATTCCAAGAGAGTCAAGTAGTTGGGAAGAACATGTCAGGATTGGTTGAAGTGAAGCATGTCCTGCTGTAGGATGGACTGGGCAGCAGGATGTGGTCAGGTTCAGCTCTGTCTTGTACATTTATCCCCCTAGAGCTGCACTCCACAACCCCCTTGTGCACCCACCCACCCACATATTCACATATGCATAGACTGAGTACTTCCATAAATGTAGGGAAAAAAATAACTGGTTGAGATGATTTAATATTAAATATCACTTCTGTTATTACTAACCAGGTATTTTTCCTTTTGTTTTGGAGTAATTTTTTCCTTGACAGAATTCTTTATAGAAAGCTGTTCTGTCATCTTCAGTGTTTCAATGCATTTTGCATTTTAGATGTCAACATTCCACAAAGTTAATACCACATCTTTACAGTACTGAGGTAAACTGGGGTCTAATACCAAAAATGTACAATTTCAGATTAATCACAGTTTTGATTTGAAGCTCTTGACAATAGACAAGAGAACATATGCTCATATGCTTCTGTTAGCTCAGCTGAGGAGAAAATAGTACGACACAGAGAGTACAGGGGTGATTCACCCTTCCTCTGAGCTCATCTCTATAGGCTGTGGAGTGCAACAGGGAGCTCTGTGTGTGCCAGGACAGTGGTCCTGGGCATTCTGTACCTGGGCACATGGAATCACTGAAGATCTGGTGGCACTACTTCTATAAGAATTTGTGTTGGCTCCAAAGCCCCAGCCAAATTCCTCTTCTTATTTCCTGATGCCCTTGCCAGTTCCACCTGGCTGCATTACAAACCATTTCCTAACCAGTGATGGGGAGCTGCCAGAGGTACCTAATTGCTGGCACAGGCTCATGTTCCCTCCAGGGAAAATGTGGTGAAGGAGAGCCCTCTGGAAGGAAAAGCTGTGGAATTTGGTTTTGTAGAGCTGCTGCTGTGTGTAAGACCTGGCTGTCAGTAAAGGGTAAAAAGGAGGCTGCGATATGGCCTGTGAAGCCTCTCTCGGAGAGCAGCTTCATTCACCATGGCCACGGTTGAATAGTGTCATACATTCCCCCTTGTCTGTCCTGTAACAATGGATGCTTTCCAAAGGATAAGGAGTGAGCATGAAGGTAGAGTAAGAAGGTAATTTCCTGGGCGCTACATACTCTATTTATTTCCTGATTCCAGAACACAGCTGCTACTGGAAAGAGTTTCTGTAGGCACAGAACAGTGTTCTGGGCTGAACAGAGTTTGAGCTGGCCCGTGCTGTCACAGAGGGAGCACCTGTCTCTGGGAAGCAAAAGAGAGGGAAGGTTTTCCCCTCCCTACATCTATGGGACCACTTACATGCCCTTCCACCTCACAAGCTGCTAACTGCCTCAACCCTCATGGGTTTCTTCTTATGTTCTTATCATGTATCCATGAATTTACCTTGCTTCAATTACAGCTGTGGGAGGAGCCAGGATAGTGCCTTGTCTTTTCATCACCTTCCCTGAGGCAGCATCGAGGCTAATGTTGGGGGTGGGGGTCGTGTGGTACAGCCTGCAGCACCTTAGTAACCAAGGAACTCCTAAAGAACAATCTCTGGAATCCACTTCTTACCAGCTGCAGTGATCTTAGTAATTTGTTATGCAAATACATGGATAGTATTAAGAAACCTGATCATTTACTGCACCTTCCCAAGCATCCCACCTGGGGGACATTAGCCCACCACAGTTCTTCCTTATTTAAGTAACTCCTGCCCAAGCCTCTAAAATACTGTGCAGATCAAGAAATTTCACCATAGAAATGTGGGAAGAACATCAGTGTCCATCAGTGCAGGAGGAAAGGTGAATAACCAACCAGAGAAGATGGATAGTCAGCAGGACCTGTGTGAATTTAGCTTGATTTCACCTTCAGCCAGTGCGTACCTCCCCCTTCTCTTCTCCTGCTCCTAGGAAAAAAGCAAATCATCAAGGGACTGAGCATAAAGAAAACAGTGCAGATAAGCCCTCTGGAGATGTTATGTGAAGCATGAGAACACAGCCATTCCCAGGCCTGCTGGCTGTATTTTGGGGAGAACATTTCCACAGATGAGGCTTGCAGAGGAATTCTGGGGAAGCTAAATGGAGATGCATTGCTAAAGGGGTTGCTCTGCACTCAAGAGCCTCCTTTTCATCTTAGATAGATTTCACCAGTAAGCAAGAATATCTAGACCTTTGCCTTCCTATCAGCTCTGGGAACTAGTCATACCCTCTCCCTAATTTCAACAAAGACTTCTCCACCCTGTTCAAGCCACTTTTACTAAGAGCAACTGTTAACATGTATTTGGAAAACTTCCACAACCATCGGTTTGTCCTCTCCTTGCACTTTCAAAAATTATTGTTTTCCTCATTGCAGCAGGAAGGAAGCCTCCCCCTCTTTTTCCCCCTCCAACTGGAAAAATCACATCTAATCTTGCTGCCTTTTTTCCCTGCTGTGTATCCTGTCAAAACTGGCTGTTGTTATGAACTGCAAATAGTGTGTCTAAGCCTTTGGTCAGTTTTTTTCTAGTTCAATTATCATTCTGCCCATGAACCTGGGTTTGGCTCATATTTTGCATCCCATGATCATCTCATCCCTCTCTCCTTTCACCCTCAGTTCCTGCGTGCTGTCCTACTGCTCTGCCTGGCACCTGCCATTTTATTCCTGCTATTTTACCATGAGATGGATGAATGGGCTCACTTCTCATTGCATTGAGGACATTTTAGCCCTGTTGGGTATAGGTGTGCCTGTGTTCATTCCTTTGTGTACTGCATGTTGACATACAGATACACCACCCAGCTGAGCTAAAGCTTTGTTTACTTTTTTGGTGTTCCAGGATGTGTATCTTCACATTGCTACTTGACTGCTCCACAGACACATACCATCACCTTGTAGTGACATGGCTACCTCCAACAATGTATCTACAACTCCCTACAACAAGGTCTGTGTAACTTGGGTGGAATTGGGTGGCCTCTGCCCACACTTCCACATCTGTCTGCTAAGGACTACTCACTGGAAAAGCCATGTCCATAATTCTCTCAGACTCAGTGTCACTGCATGAAACAGTTCCCGACTCTCTTCTCTCTTTGGTGACTTCCTTCTTCCAGCCTCTGCTGCGAGTGTCACTGCTGACAGGTGCTCTGGCTGTCAGTGTATGTAAGGACAACAGTTTTCTGAAGAAAATAGGTTGTTGTGTAGCACCTGAAGGCCCTCTGAAATATTTTTCTTATGCACATTCCAAAACTTCCCTCTTTCCCCCACCCTTTGCAGTGGAAGGAAAGATGTTGAAAACTGAGGAGACTGGAGCCCACTGTGCCCTTTTTATATTAATATATACATGGCACTGATGCAGTGACAGTACGTCAGTGAATCCATTGTGAGGGCTAAAATTGTACCCAGACAAAATGACAGTCATGGCCTTACATCTCCAGTGGCTGGAGAATGCCCTTTCTCCTACATTAAGGTCATGAGTAACAAGATTGTCTCTGCTTGCATGAGCTTTCCCCGGGCAGAGACTGTTTGCGTAGGTGGCGTCCCCTTCTGCATTGCCTGCAGGATGAATCCTCATTTCACTCCTAGTGAAGAGACATATGCGGCTGCAGGATGAACTGTCATCAGCAATATGAAGTAGGGGAGAGTCACCTCTATTTGAATTTTTTGTGTGCTGTGATGTATTTAGGATATAGAAGACTGCATGAGCCTGAGAACCAGAACCTTACTGTTTTTTATGCAGTACTAGGATACTGGGTGCAGTACCTCATGTGCACCCAAGCACATCTCTGCCTAACCTTTATTTTCTGGTCTGGTTAACAACCACTTACAGAATTTCTCTCATTTGTCCTCCCTGTCTTTAAATCATCTTCCTAGCAGCTGTAGTTCCATTTATTGCTTAGATATCTGTAGTGATGGGCAGGAGTGCTCGCTATTTGTGACCCAGATGTGTGAACCAAGGGCCATCTGAAGAAGGTGACTGTGCTGCCTCCAGCAGCCCTTTCCTTTACAGTAGCTGCACACTGTTCCCAATTTTGGGAAGCAGCTGCTCTCTACCACCCACCTGAGGAACATGAACTTCTGGTGCCATCCCAGCTGATCTTAAGTTTTCCACAGTTCAGGTAGATCTGTCTTATTTTAGGGACTTATATGTTACTTTTAGATGGTCTCTTCCCCAGCCCCAATGTGAGCTGGATGTATTCCTGTACTAAAGAATATGACTGAAGTTTTTTTGGAGACAATGGCAGAGATTTCATAAAATCAGAGAATCATTAACATCCTGAGCTGGAAGCCATCCACAAAGATCAAGTCCAACTCCTGGCCCTACACAAGGCAAGAGTCATACCATGTGCCTGAGAGCATTGTCCAAACGCTTCTTAACCTCTGTCAGGCTTGGTGCTGTGACCACTTCCCTGGAGACCCTGTTCCAGTACCCAAACACTCTCTGGGTGAAGAACCTTATCCTAATATCCAACTTAAACCTCTCCTGATACAGCTTATGCTATTGCCTTGGGTCCTGTCACTGGTCACCAGAGAAAAGAGATCAGTGCCAGCCTCTCTGCTTCCTGTAGTGAGGATGTTGAAAACAAGGTCCCCCCTCAGTTTCCTCCAGGCTGAACAGACCAAGTGATCTCAACTGCTCCTTACAGAGCTTCCCCTCAAGGCCCTTGACCATCTTTGTTGCCCTCCTTTGGACACTCTCTAGTAGCTTTGTATCTTTTTTACATTGTGCTGCCCAAAACTGCCCCAGCACTGAAGGTGAGGCTGTCCCAGTGCAGAGTAGGGTGGGACAATCCCCTCCCTTGCCTGGCTGGCGATACAGTGCCCAATGTTCCCCACGACACAGTTGGTCCTCCTGGCTGCCAGTTCACACTGTTGGCTTTTATTCAATTTGCCTTTTCTCTTGATGTTTCTCTAACAACTCTCTTGAATTTTGGCTGGAGAAAAATGTGGCCAGATACCACAGCTGGAATGGGGGATGCCATAGTCAATTGTCTGCAGATACCATGTGTGCTGGAACCAAAGCACACAGCAACTGGCCAAACTTTGTTCAGCTCTGTTTCAGTTTCTCTGTTTCAGCTGAGGGCCAAGTGAAATAACTCTGGCTACACTCACTTGACACTGACCACCATGGGATGAAACCATTCATGTATATCCTGCTACTGGGAACACGTCCCTGTGGGCCACTGCTGGGCAAATCACACTGCAAATATGTTTGTGGCACTTACTGATCCCATTATTGGCAGTTTCTGAAAAGGACCTTTGAGCCAAGGAGACAGATCTCAGAGAAGATCAAACTGCTGGAAAAGGTCTCTGGGCTGCCAAAATAGGCTCCAAAGCTATTGGTCCTGCCCTATTATCAGCATCACATTCTCCTATAAAAGAAAAAAACAGGACACAGGAAGCACCAACACAAGGTGGGAGAATCAAGACCTCAATCCAATGTACTAATAATACTTAGCACTGTACATCACTGTACTGTTACTTACAAACATTAACTGATACATCCTCACAACACCCCTGCGAGGTAGGGAAGTAGTATTATCCCTAGTGTACAGATAGGGAAACCGAGGCACCAAGAGGCTAAAAGTGACTTGCCCAAGATCACACAGCAAGGCATTGGTAGAGCCAAGGTAAGAATGGAGACATCCCTTGTTTCCCACCCCATGCTGCCCCTTCCCTAGCTAATGTTGTCTGTCTGGACACAGGGAACCAAAGAGGCTCCTTTGAAAAGCAATGCCCGGACTTGTTGCCTATGAATAATTTTTATTTGCCTTTAATGAATTATTTCACAGTTTTTCCCTCACACTGTACACCATGCTTTCACAGTCCGTTCAGCACTCTGTGGTGGCCCACAGCCTTCTCCTCTGGCACTGGGACAGCTCTGCAGGGGGTTCATAGGGTGCTCTGTGCTTTCATCAAGAGGATGTTTAGAAACAGTTTTCACTGACATTAGACTGGGAGCATGTGAGCTCTCACTGGAGACCAATAACACACACTGGAGAAGCAGGCAGAGGGAACTGATGGTAAAAAGGCATTTGCTGTCCCCTGTGGAATGACCAGTGGCTCTCTTGGTTTCTTAGCTCTTCCAAGCTCCAGTGATCACTCAGAGCAGAAACCCTCTGGCTCCAACTTGCCTGGTCAGGAAGTTGTTGTTCTAGGGGTTGCTTCCTTAATAGGTAAAAGGCAGGCAGTTCAGGACCAGACAGGTCCCTCAGCATTGCCTACTCCAGGTGTGTGACACTGTCTGGGAACAAGGCTGGCTGTAGTTGTTGTGCTCTTTTGCCATGGGGAAGGGGTATTACCATGGTTGGCAAGCAGCCATATCCAGCGTCCAAGTCTCTTTCATTTCAAAACTGGTATTCAATGAAGAGCAAGGGAGAGTGGATGGATGAGATGAGGATGAGGCAGAGCAAACAGGAAAATCCACCAAATGAGCTTCTACGAAGGAAATGTTCCCCCTTGGGCACTTCAGCTGAAGTGGCTTCATTTTCACAAGGTTTCCTTCTCCCTCTGGGAACATCTGCTGAGCTTCATCTCTGTCAGCTGGATGTATCGTATGACATTGGTATCTGCAGGGAAAGAACACATACACAGGTATGGTGGTTACACAGCTCCCTGTGGCACACAGACAGAATGCACCTTCATCCCTGGTGCATCACAGGGGAGCAGCACAGCTCTAGCACTGTGTGCTGGAACAGCATCCTTTGGAAGGGGTTCTGAACTAAACCTGGAACCTTTGGTTTTGGAGAGCGTGGTCTGAGTTGCACTCACCATCCCTGTTCCTCACAGTCTTGCCTCAGCTAATTTTTACCTTCTCTCAGTTTTCTCTTGGTTGGCACAGTTGAACTCACACAACTGAAACTATCCAGGCCATCCTTGCCTATACTTGTGGAAGAGCACACCTCCATTGGCTTCTCTTCCTGCAGTACCCACATGCAAGCCCCTAAAGGCATTTTGTGTACAATTACACTCTGCCTTTTTATTCTCCCACTCTATTTACAGCCTATCCCACTCTTTTCATGTTTTTCCATGATGAATAGAATTGGGAAGAGCATCCTTCACATTGTATTTGTACCCCTTCACCCCTTAAATTTTCTGCTTGGATGTCCTTCCACCATGACACTCTTTCTGCAATTTTGTCATATGCGATATGTTGCATACTGCCTTGTCTGTCCTGTCTAATGAAGTTCCTAGGGGCACAGAACCACTGATCCATCCTAGTAGAAAGCTGTGATATCCCAGCACTGTGCAGGTGATAAGCTGAGCTGCCTTCTTCCTTCTAGCATTTCAGAGCACCAACACAACACACAGTCTACGAGAGTTTGGCTTTATCTCCAGCCCTGAGGGAACCCATTCACCCTGAATCACAGGCTGATCTAAATGAGTAGGTGTCTCCAGACAGAGCCAATGATTCTGCAGTCATGGTCAATCCTCTCTTAAACCAAGTTGATTTCCATCATGAAATCATCAGGTAACTTCACATCTATGAAGTGGCAAAAGCCATGTAGTACCAGAAGCAAGCAAGTAAAAACACAGTCACTTTCACTTTTGTATCGATTAAAAAATGGTTCTTTGCTCAGAGCCTTGCTCTGACAGCCATCCAAGGCCAGCTTGGTCCACTAAAGTAATTAGACCCTGAGACACCAATCAGAAGTGCAATAGAGTCCAATCAGAGGGCAATCTCGTCTCCTCCTCATCCAAACTGCAATGTGTTCCACAGCAGCTAGGGAAATGAGAAGTACTTCAGCTTTCAAAGTGATGAACAAATTACTGGGAATATGTCCAGCACTAGTGAGTGCAGGTATTGCACCCCCAAAGCAGTTGTGGGTGCAAATCTTCCTTTAAAGATGAGGACATCTCTACTGTGCCCTCTGCCAGTGCTGAATCAGTGACAGACAGATCAGTTTCCTGCCACACAGAGCTATCCACAAACATGCCACGGGGCATCTGTGGGCCATGGCCATGCTGTTGTGACTTCTCAAGTTGTCTCTGGTGAGGTGGGTCTCCCTGCTGAGTCTTCTGCAGGCTCAACTGCATCATCCTATGCATTCCAGAGGGTGGGATTCGATGACTAAGTTACTCGACCTGTTTGGGACATTTTTAATGAGCTAAGAATTCTGCTATTGCTTCTGTCAAACAAGATGCACCAGCATCCTGGGCTGTTTATGCATTAGTACTTCTTACCAGCCCAGCAAATTTTAAAGCAGCTTTTTAAAAAACAGAATTATTTTAGTTGTGCAGCCTCCTGGAATGAAGAAGTTCAGTTGAGGGGGTAGCTCTGAATTTTAGCCTTAAAATTAAATGGGTACAGTTGGCTGACTCACTCCCAGCAGTGCAGGGCAGGACACACAGCCTGAGCAGGGTCCTGCTGTGCTGTCTGCATCTCACTGTGACCTCTGCTCTCTGCTATTCTAGGCTCTGATGGGCTGTGCTCTGGGTACACATCCCCACCACTGAGGCACATGCTTGGAATGCCTGCCTGGTGCAGGTGAGAAGGGATAACTGCATGGGCATGTCAGGAAATCCCACCTGCCTGGGCCCCCAGGGACTCAGCATCTTGCTGAGGGGGCAGAAGTGGGGTCATAATTGGGAAAGGCTGCCAGCCTTCTTTGGCTTTCAGGTAAGGTAGTGACTGCTGATGGCACAGCTTCACTCACCTGGGAGATTTCCACATGGTTTTGTTCCCAGGACTTCTGAGTCACAGGGGTGCAGGAAGGCAGTGCCCGAGTGCAGCCGTGAGCCTGCACAGCACAAAAATTATCTGGTCCGGGCAGCCCACAGGACGCCTGAACGTGGGCTCCCAGCACAGGGATGGCAGAGACCATTGCTTGACATTACCAGGACATTTCCAGCTGATGGTCTGGTCTCAATCCCAGTCAGTCCCTGCCCAGACAATGCAGCCCCAGGAGGAGAGGGCTGAACAAGGCTTGTAGAAGGTGCATGTTTGGCTGCCTATGCTGCACCAACCTCTGGACTCAGAGCTCATGGAAGGTCCACGCATGGTTTACATGACTTGACAGCAGCTTCCCTCTTCCTTAGTAGGAGGGTTATACAACTATCTCGTGTTATTTCCATCTGCTTTTGTGATTTTTCTTTGGAGGTGGCACAAGAAATCAGGCCAAATCCAACCTTCCTTCACCCTGGGCGGATAGTGAATAGCCGTAAGGGATCTGCTGTGCTGACAGCCCTTTAGAACACTAAACCCCTTTGCTAACTAATTCCTCTTTACCATTCAAAATCTCTCCCACCAAAGAGAATAACTGCCAGTGATTTCTGCCAAAACCATTCCTTATTAGAAAAAAAAACCAACAAAAAAACAACACAGAACATGACTGCAATAATAATCAGTGAGGCTGGTGAAACCTCAGATAAAGGAAAACAATCACACTTTGCAGATGGAGACATTTAAAGCGGAGACACTGACTTATTCCAGGTCACATAATAATTCTTGATAGTGCTACCTGATTCCTATTACTGTGTTTTAACAGTCACATCCTTTCTTACTGTACATATTCAATTCTTTCCCCCGAATGCCCTTCAAGTTTTCCATAATCATAAATAAAACAGTGGAACAACAGCCTTGAACGGTCTACAAATAACAGGAAAAAGTCTGATGCAGAGCTGAAGGCCAGAATTGGGTTTTGTATACATTAAGGCCCTTTAGGGACACTTTCTGGTATGTTTTTGTAGCAAGTGGTATTTGAAGTTGTTGCTGTTGAATAAATTAGTATTGATGTCAAGAAGCAATGAGAAATACTAAATAAATAGTATTACAAGGAGGGGGGTGGTAAGGGAGCACAAAAACATATTTAAAAATGGACGCTAAGTCGTTCAGCTAAAATAAATTTTTCACATCTGAGCCTAGTCAAAACTTCAAGGTTAGTATAACTTCTTTTCCACTGACTATTTTTCTCTTGCATATGGTTCTCCATTTCCTGGTTCTGGCAAGGGCTGAAAGCAGAAGGGCACACTGTAAACTAAAATAGGCTAAACTGAGCTTTTAGACACATTTGCTCTGGGAGTGTGGGGCTCACAGCTGTGCTGTCAGACTGCCCGGAGCCCATGGCCAAGCACAGCAGATGGCACCAAGCACCCTTAGGGGACATGGAAGAGGAAGGAGACTCCCAGCACACTCCCAAGTGCACCCTCCCTGATGGTCCTCCAGGGCACAGCCACTGCAGGAGCCCTGCAGGGCCGATGCCTGTAGGACATCAAGTACAGCCAACTCCAACAGCCTCCCTTCCCTCCTCTAATTCAATGAATATCAGCTCCACCATGCTCTGCCAGGACCCAGGCTGGCCTCTGTTTCACACCCAGTTCTCACTCTTTCCTCTTGGATTCATATGAAGAGATGCTCTGTAGGATTTTCTTTGCACATGGCTTCCATTTTAATTTCCTGAGATTCTTTAATTTTGAGTTCTACAAAATTCCTTTTTGTTTAAAACCACAGTGTTATATCCCTATGATTTCTGAAAAATAAAAGCACCATCTCTGCCTCACCCTCATCTCTGGCCTTTCACCCACCTTCTGAGGATGGGCAGGTTAGCATGAAGATGGTTGCTCTGGCAAGGCTCAGTTATTTGGATATACAATTTCATTGCTGTCCCCAAATGAACTGTATGGTTTTGACAGATGGATGACAGATACTTAACAAGCAATTGGCTGATTTCACGGCAGAAGTTGAAGCATCCTGATGAATTCTTTGTGGGTAAATGTCTGTCTCCTTGATCAAAGCAGAATACTAACTCCTTACTGAGAATGCAGAAGGCTACTGAGGATGACAAATAGTCTCCTGGCATTGCTAAGGGGAAAAAGCTTTTTCTCAAAGAGTCAGAAAATTTAATGGTTGGGGTGCACTCTTTCCCCACCCTGCTTTCTTCAAAAGTAAGTTAGTGAGGAAAAGAGAGGCAGGATCCTCTCCACACTGACAGCATTCCAGCAGTACTGTCATCTTCCAGGTCATGCTGCAGCCTTGGCAGCAGTTAATCTTTGGGAACTGCAACCTTGCTGCACTCCCCACGAGTGCTTGAAGGGGAGTCCAGGCAAGGACACAGAGTGAGTCACACTCATCCCCGTGGAAATCAACGCAACCAAGTCAGGGACAGATGACGTCTCATGGAAAGAAATACAAAAGCACTCAGTGCAAAGCCACATCCCTCTCCCTTCCCCATACCTGTCGGCTGGCGGGATCTTGCCTCTTTCAGGTAGTAGAGGGCCTTGTTGAAGTCACCCAGGTGGTAGAACGCCACTCCCGATCGATAGAGCGCCTTGAAGTTCTCGCCTTCCTTCTGCAGCACTTTGAGGCAGTACTCCTTAACCCGCTCGTAATTCACCAGCTCGGCCTGGAGCAGGCAGGCTGCAGGGCATGGAGAGGATGGCAGACAGACAGACAGACAGACAGGAAAACATTAGTGCTGGATTTCCCCCTGCTCTTGCAATCTGCACAGGAGAAGAGAGCAGCTTAGGTGAGGGAAATGACTCAGCCCCGTGATTCACAAAGGGTGCAGTCATATGGATTGTTTGCTAAACCCGATTGTTTGCAATTTAGATACCAATGCTTCTACTTTTAGCATTGCAAAGCAAAGGGATTGTGTTTACTCCCGGGACACACATAGGCACGTGAAACACTGAGGGAGAGAGGGAGAACACAAACACCCCTCCACAGCTCTGGAATGCCACACAGTCTCGTGGCAGTGACTGGCTTCGTTTGCTGTGAAATCAACTGAGGGCAGGGGCTCTGGAAAGTACAAAAAGGCAGACTAACAGTTATCCCACAAGGAAAAAGGGAGATAAATTGGATCAGGTTTTGTATTTGGCTTTATCCAAGGCTCTTAGGTTTAAAAATAATACGTAATTGCCTTTTATCCAGGAGATCCTGTATGGAGGTTTGCTATAGGAAATGACAAGGGGCTCTGCCCTGCTGGAATGTGCTGTCAGCAAACCAGAGACACCTGGAGTTGTGGTACAGGGAACAAACGTGCTCTGCTGCCTGCTTCCTGCTAAGCACTGCAACACAAGTTCATTCCCAGAGGTGAATTCTGCAGACTTCCGAAAGGAAAAGGCAAACAGTAAATAAACATGTTGAGGGTTCTATGTGCTGAAGGACAATTGTTGCATAAATGTCTAGGAGCTGAAGAAATTGCCTGTTGCGAATTTCCCACAACTAGGAGTGAAATATGAGGAAAAGGGAAGATCCCTGAGCCTTGCTTTACAGCTGTGCTCATGGCTTTCTGTAGTGCTTGCTCCAGTGGGCTGAACTTTATACAGGCGACCTGAGCACTAGGAATAGCTTGGGGAACACTGACAAGAATAGGACATGGTGCAGTCACAGTTCCAGGGAAATAAAGTTGTGCTGCAATCCAGTGCTGCAATCCAAGGCAACTTCAAGAATGACAGAATCTGGGGAAGGAAGGCAGAATGCCACTACAAGGATCACTTCAGAGGCTGGCAGTGTCAAGTGCCAGGGCATGGAGAGAAATTTCCCATGGCAGGTGGTGTTACTCTGTGTGTCTCTGGCAAGGAGGAGACTCAGTCCTCCTGGAAATCCAAGTCATCACAGGTCAGGTGTCACCAATGAACAGCCAGACTTCATTTCTTGCACGGTAACTGCAGCTGAGAGGATATGGTGCTGGGTCAGAAATATGATGCAGTTCTTCACTCCCTTTCCCCACACCCCTAGAGTAAGCCCTACAACCCTTTCTGTATCACACTTCATGAGGAGGCTGGCTAGATGACTTCCAGAGATTCCTTCCAACCTAAATTAGTCCAAATCCAGGATCACTTAATGTGAACAGAATACATTTCTGACCCAAGTACACCTTCAAAGCTTAAACAGCTTACTGGGAACAATCATAATCTCCAAACCATCAGAGCACTGATGCTAGAGACTCGTTTAACAAGGACTGCAGAACTAGTCCCATTGCTGGTATGTTGTTTAAGTGACAGAGCCATTACTAACAAGAGCTTTGTCCCATTTGCTTAAATACTGAAATGTCAGTATATTCTAAGAGCTCCTGCCATTATGTGCATAGATCTTTTGAAAGCTTCTGATAATTTGTTATTTGATTGCCAGTTAAAAAACACATATATTTCTAAAACCTTAGTGGCATTTCCTTATCCAGAGTTTGTCCCTTCCTATTTCTCATACATTGATTTTTCTCACTCTGTTTCTAATGGAGCTTGAAATCACTGTGCCTTGTTTTTTTTTATTTTTTAAAGCTATTGAAAAGATGGCTGTGTAAATTTACTGCTGGCTTCACTGCCTGGAAACAGGATTGCTTTGTTTATCTGCTGACCAGTAGCATGTACAGCAGTGGCAGCAGCTTTCTGCACATTGCCAATCAGAGCCAGCTTTTCACGTTCTGTGGAACTGCCTTCAGAGCAACTAGGGGGTGGATTTCAGTCTCTCTGTTCATTTGCTACTTCGTATTTTCAGTAAGAGTCACAGAAAGGAATCTGTGAAAAATGACAGGCAATCTATTCATGTATATTAACTCAGTAATTCCACAGTGGACTTGCTTCACATATTGGTTGAAAAGAAAACTCTCCTAGGTCTTGCTAATTCATAAACCCAAATGGGTTTCCAGATATCTAGCTGGATTCTTTCTGTGACTCATACTCACAGTGAAGCTTCTGCAGGGCATCCCCGCTAACTGTGCACGTGGCAGGGAGAAGTCAGCACCACATGGCCAGCAAGAGAGATGTGTATTTATCTGAACAAACGGAGCAGATGGATGTGCAGGAAGCAGTTCTGCTGGAAGACTTGGCCACTTGGAGAACCAGTGTTGGAAACGGCTGTTGGAAATGAACCTGAAGGGAGTATCTCCCTTATAAATATTTAGACATACGTGCTTCCAGTTCTTGGTGGCCTAAAATGATCTTAATCTACTGTGATCCAATGAAAATATTGGAGTAATTCAGCTTTCAGAAATGGAGGAGACACGGAATCTTTGTACTTCTTACCTAATTCAGTCAGAATTCAGGGAGAATTGTTTTGGAAATGTGTTGTTTTCCTAAACAGATGTGTAACTCTGGGTAGGAGTGTTTCTTTACCACATCAAACACCTTATCACATTCCTTCTAAGTTCATAATAGGCCCCTGGTGAATCCCTCTGAGGAACAGAGCTCACTCAGAGAGACCACATCTAGAGGTTTATCTCGATCATCCTCCTGCTTTCTCAAAACTGAATGGGCTTGATCCTGCACAGCACCATCTCCACTAACTCTGCTGATTAGAAGGGTGCTTTTTACTTGCAGAGGCAAACTATAGTCTCCCATTCCCTGCAGGTCTCATTGTCACTGTAATACAGCACCTGGTAAATACATCTCCCCCACTCAGAAATGTTGCTTGCCCTGCTTCCAGCAGCATGTGGTGGTTATCCATCATATTTGGTTATCATTCTCAATTTGGCAGCTGATTCATTGTGTCAGCTTAAGCAATAAGTAATTCTTTAATTTTAAGCCTGTGTAAGTCACATAGTGATAAAGAATCCACATCAGCTGTAAAATAAAATCAAATCAAATAAAACAAAACAAAACCCATCTTGAAACTACTGGGTGTAATGTGCCTTGGAAACAGGGAAAAGGTTAATGCTATTAGCTCCAGAGGAGGGGCCCTGTCCATCACACTTCCCAACTGACTGCTGATGTTCAAGCAAAGAAATAGGAAATCTGTCTGGTTTTCTTCACAAGAGTAATGTTAGGCCTGTATTTATACATTTTAATTTGTGAATTCAGATCTATGCCAGCCAGCTCCATTTGAGAAATGCAGTACAGATCTGGTAGCAGTAGATAACTGAGCTAGTTTGTATAGCCCTGTTCAGCACAAGGTTGAGCAAAACAAAGATTAAAGCACCTGTGGAGCCGAAATATATCTACACCTTTAACCTTTACCAGAAGCTGTGGTTAGCAATGATGGAAAGTTGTAACTAAAATCCTGGCAGTTGAGGGGTTTGGATTCTACTTTATTCCAACCTGAAATGATTTTGAATTTCAGAGTATCTTTCGGGAAGCTATCTAGGCTTGACAGGTACCAGTGAGAAGGGGTGCATGACAGCTTTTTTATTCCAAAGGCTAATAATCTTAATTGTTTAGGAAACATCACAATTGTTTAGGAAACACCACTACATTTCTATACTGACTTTTTGTTTAGCTTCAATTTGCTAGCCACACAGTACCCTGAAAAGCCTGTGTATCCTTGTTTTGTTGATACTCTGAGACTCTGATCAAGTCCTTCATCTTCTCTTCATTAGCTTGCATAAAGTGGCATCTGGAATCTCTTACTAAAAAAAAAAACACCTTATTTTTCAGCTTTCCTTACTTTTATAGCTATTCTCTGAATCCTCAAAATGAAGTTCACCTGAAAGTGCTGTCAATTAACATCTTACCACAGAAAATTCTTTTGTGAGAATACCTCTGCAGGTTACACAAAAAACTTAGTTTGGCCCTAACTTTTGGCCTCTAATTTTGGCTGAGCTAAGAACTAAGTCTGGGAGTAGCATGTCCATGTTTTAACATGGAGATTTTGAACAACAGTATCAAGAGCCATGCTTAGCTCAGAAATTTCAACAAAGGGCAAATCTTCATTCCAGAACAATTGTCTGGACAATTTTTATATCAGTGGCTAAATTCCCATTTTAGGTAAGGCTCAAGGCCTATCCATGTTACACAACACTTTAAAGAGTGGGCTGAATTAGTGTGCAAGCAGCATTAGGGCTGTGCAAGCATCCCTACCCTGTGGCATGTTCCTTGGGATCAGCACACTGAGATGAAAATGCATTTGCCTTACAGGAAAATCTTGGGTTGCAAAATCATGTTTCACAAACTCCTGTTTTGTTTGCTTTCACTCAGGTAAGCTGGTTGCATTGCCTATTTTTAGGATATTCTTGTGCCTTTCACTGAAAGAAAAAGTCAGCTGCTTATAACTTTGCTGGTCATTTAAGTTTATAAGCTAAAATATTCCATGTGCAGTATCTGCCTTTGATGTCTGCTTTCAGAAAATGTCGGACAAGACTGTTCAGGTATCTTTGAAAAAGAGACTAGGGAAACATAGCTTATTTTTCCCTTATTAAAGATTTCTGGTGACTGCCTCTTTGGATGCATCTCATGCCCTCATCGTTTGGCTTTGCAAAAGGAAATCTGGCAGATATCCTTTGAGCCAAGCAAGTGCCTTCTGTTATCCCCAAGGTAATCTTGAGCTGGCCAACTGATAACCTTCCGAAAATAAAACCAGTATGGTACTGCATATAGTACTCTGTAGAGATATGCTTTAGAATATGGTACCCAAATCCTTTGAATAGTCAGTCCACCCTGGGCACATTCTGATCTAGAAAAATGTTGTGATCTGAAAGCATTGAGATCACAAAAATCCTCTTTCTGGCTCACTGGTCACAGGAATAAAGAGCAGAAA